GTATCCTCCACCCTTCCCTATGCCAACTGCGTTCCCTCATTTTGACAAAACAAGGCTTATCTTAGATGATGTCGAAAAACCAAGGCTAATAATAGGCCTATTAGGAAGACTTGTATGTCTGTAAAGTGAGTGAGGCTGAAATTTAAAAACAATTGTAAGTGAAATTTATGTCGGCCCGCCGGTGGTCTCAATGGATTGAAACTGGCCCCCAGCTTAAATAGGTTGAACCAGGGCCCTAGAGTGATAATCCATGGGTATCCAAGTCCCGATGGTGCAAACCGAACACCCAGGTATATGATAAAACTCATGGGAATACCGTAAAACCTCGAGTTGAAACCCTGGGCTTCTGTATTTTTTTTATTTTTTTTTTTTATTTTTTTTTTTTTTTTTGCCAACTTTGGATGGGCTTCTTTTCGAGGCTACTTTTGCAAAGTAGAAAATGGGGGGGGGGGGCTCTTTCCAAAATAAATGCTGTAAATTCTAAAACAATAAATAGGGCCACTGTAACATCAATCTCAAGTTCAAATTTATTCACCGTTTAAAGAGAAAAAAAAATCATCGAGATACATATTTATAATTTGAATACCGCCGTTAATTAGGAAAATACACCACAAAGAAAACCAACGACGAACACGATTGAACTATAGAAGAAATTTATTTACGTGACATTCACGCAGAACCGACATGAACAGTTGTAATGGTGTGTCTTGCAAGATCAGTATGGAAAATTTTAAGGCGATACATGCAAGCTGACCTGGTTACATAACTATGAAAAGATTGGTTTTTGATGAAATAATTGTGAAAATTTACAGAAAGGCTATTATTACCAAAATTATACATAAATAATGCTTTCAACAAGTTATGTATATCATATATAGTAAGAGTATTGAATTTAACAAATAAAGGGGCAGTATGATCATGTCGTTGAGCATTAGAACATAACCGAATGATATGTTTCTGTTTTAGATGTATAGAACGAAGGTTAAAATTGTTGCCATCAGCCCATATAATATTAATAATAGTTGGATTTGTATAGCGCATCATGCGAAAAAGCCTCTATGCGCTTGGTGATTGAGCTCTTTGAGTTTGACATTTTGAAAAAAGTTTTATATGAAAAAACCTACTCCTTAAACTAAAGCATGGTTGGCCGTTGGCTCCGATTATTATCATCAATTATTATCATCAAAAATAACACCTAGAAACTTAGTACGAAGCACCTTAGATATCGTAACATTATCAATTTTTATGTTAATGTCAGGATAATTACGATTACTATGCCTATTTCTGAATATAATATAATTCGTTTTTGCAATATTTAATGAAAGTTTGCTTTGAACCAAGTGGATCGGGGTGAGAAACAATTATATTAGTGTTATCAGCATATATGAAAAATGAAAATACATTGGACGTGTGAAAAATATCATTAATAAAAAGGATTAAAAGTAAAGGACCCAAAATAGATCCATGTGGAACTCCACGTTGGACAGTAGATATTGATGAATTATTATTGCAATAATGAACATATTGGGTCCGATTAGTCAGGTAACTTCTAAACAGATCAAGGGCAACACCACGAACACCATAATGGAATAATTTGGCCAGCAAAATATCATGATTTATGGTATCGAACGCCTTTGAAATGTCTAGGAATATACCAAGAGTATGCTGATTCTTATCTAAATTGCTGACTATACGATTGTATGCTTCTAAGAGAGCCATATATGAAGAATATTTAGTGCGAAAACCAAACTGATTATTGTGTAGTAAATTATAGCGAGAAATGAAATTATAAAGTCTAGTATAAATCAAACGTTCAAAGATTTTGGAGAACACGGGAAGAACAGAAATTGGACGATAATTACTAAAAATGTCAGGAGGGCCAGCCTTGTAAATGGGGAATTACCTTAGCTATTTTAAGTTGATCGGGAAAAATGCCGGAACGAATAGAGGTGTTAAAGATATGCTAGAGGCAATGCAATGAAACGTTTAGCCAATTTAATAATATCTGGTCTAAGTTCATAATATCCACAACTTGTGCTAGATTTAAGTGTATTGAAAGTCCAGATAACCTCATCTGCGTCTGTAGGTGATAGAAATAGAGTTAACAGTCTGTGTAGTGCTGCAGAGGAGGTCCTCTGGACTTGTATTCACTTCGGGAATTTTGCTAATTAATTCAGGACCAATCTGGGTGAAAAAATCATTAAATCCTTGTGCAATAATTTTAGGATTAGACTCTTCGTGTCCATTTATAGTAAAAAAGGATTGAGGATTTTTTCTACACTTACGACCTAAAACAGTATTAAGAATATTCCAAGTTTCGGTCAAGTTATACCTGTTTTCATTAAGTTTGTCAGTAAAATAGCGTCTTTTAGATGTCCTTAAGTAGTGAGTTTCTTTTTGTTAATATCAGAGGGGAACTTAAGTACAATTTATGAAGTTTATCTTTACGATGGATGGATTTTAAAATGGCAGGGGTTATCCAGGGTTTGCGTGAGATACTTGATGGTCGACGATTATTATGAAAACGAAAAGGAAATGACAAATTATAAGTATTAGTGAAATCATGAAGAAATTTAGTATACGCTTGATCGGTTGAATCAAAATCATAAATATGGTTCCAATCAGCCTGTTGAAGTTCATTGATAAAATCCTCCCGATATCTTTGTTGAAATGAGCGTATATAATGTCCCTTATTACTGTACCCTTGGAATTTATTTTCTAGAGCCTAAGTTATTTGGAAGATTGGGTAATGATCTGTAATATCAGTAACATAAATGCCAGATTTAATTTTGTGAGTTAAAACATTAGTAAAAATATTATCTAAAATTGTAACAGAGTACGGGGTTATTCTAGTGGGCCTATCAATGAGAGGGAACATATTACGAGTGTGAAAAGTATTAAGAAAATCATTAATGGTATTATTAGAATTATATTTAAGGAGGTCAAGATTAAAATCTCCCGAAATATAACAATGTTTATTTTCTAAGGATAATTTAGAGAGGCAGTTGAAAAGATCAGAGTTGAATGAGTTAATATTGGTCCCATGGGATCGATAGATGTTACCAATAATAATATTTTTAGAGTTTGGATTAATGATTTCTATGAAAATTGATTCAAAATGATTAATGTTATCAGTGGGTTGGTCAATTAAATACAGATCTTCTTTAATCCTATAACATAACGCTCCTCCTGCCAGTGCGAAATTTAGAAATAAGCGAATAATTATCAATATTAATTAAGTTTGATCCATCTTCTTTGAACCATGTTTCAGAGAAAGCAATGACTGAAAAAGCGTGAGGAATTTTGGAAATAAAGTTTTCAATGACATCACGGTTTCTGTTAAAGCTACCACTATTAAAATGTAAAACAGAAAAGTTATTATGAGTTGTGCAAATATCACTGCCTGTATCAAAAATATAAGAGCATTTGTTGAGTGTGTTATAATGATCAGTGTACTAATCGTCATTTAAAGCAGAACGTAGTGTAGTATCATATAAAAAGGAACTTAATTTCAAATCGAGGAAATTGTTAAATTCGACAGAACTATTATAAGTGAAGAGGGAAAATTTAAATTCGTCATCATCAATAAAGTGATTAAATGGAAAAAGAAGCGTGCACTTATAACAGAACCAGTTTTACACAACTTATATGGTAATAACATTTACACAAACTACACAGTATTCTTTTATCTTGATTGTATACAGGATTGAAACATTTATTACAAGACATTAATAGCCAACATTAAACATATAAACAAAAAGGTTATAGAGTTTAATCAAATAGTTGAGTAAAGTACGTAGGGAATATAACACATGAACTCCTGAAAACGTATTACAAGTATTAAGTATAAACACGGATAAATGCTTAAATGCAATCTGTGTCATAGAGTATATTAACTATAAAATCACCTAAGCTACTATATAAACCACTAGCGTTTTTAATTTGTTTTTTCCTTGAAATTCACGTAGGCTTACAGTGTATGTATACAGTACTGTACTATGTTTTTTTTAAGCCAATGCTATCTTAAAAAGAAGACATTGAACTTCTTTTCTAGATGAGATTCTTTTCTAGGCTACTTTTGCAAACTAAAGAGGGGGCATCAATTCGAGATAGGCTTCTTCTCGAGAATAAGCCCATTGGACTTTTATTCAAGGTTTTACGGTAGGCCATAGTAGTCCGAATCTGAGGGTCATAACATAACCTGAGTAGCCTCATCAGCTGACAACCCTGAGTGGGGGAGGTCCAAGTCGGCGAAAGTACAGCATAGGAGGAACTCCTGGGCGTCTGGCCTGTTTACACTATGACGATAACGATCAACGATAAAAAACTAAAAAGCAATTGCGCATACAGAAAATAAACGAAATAAGAAGTTTTCACACTCTAGCACGGTTCGATAACAATTTATCGTAGGCCTATAAACGATAAAAAATATTTTCACAAATCAAAACAAATGACGTTATATCATGGGAAAACGAAAAAATCGTAGTAGTAAAAACAATTAAATTTATCGTTTTCCCATGATTATGACGTCATTTGATTTGATATGTGAATTTAATTTTTTTTATCGTATACACGATAAATCCTTATCGAATCGTGCTAATGTGAAAACTTATTTCTTTTATTTTCTATATGAACAGTTGCTTTTGAGCGTTTTATCGTTGACCTTCATAGTGTAAACAGGCCTTAACCCAGAGGGGAATATCTGACAGGGTCTAACTCTATATAAATCCTATTAAAAAATAAATGAATTCATTAATGGAAATGATAATAATGGTAGCAGACTTATATAGAGTTTTTAGCATAAATTTTAACAAGCTTTAATCAAGCTTTAATTCAACTTTGTGGGATTTTGTTTGAGGTATACGGCTTCATTACTTAAATAGACCAAATTCTAATTGAAGACAAAAATCTCGTTGGGTTTCGCGTAAGCGTAATTTGTCCATATCAATCCATTAATTAGTTCGGAGATTTGCAATTGCGTAGTCTTTCATGATGTTTTATGTCATTACTCAATACGTTGTATATCACCGATACTGAACGTACGCTTCATTCTATTTTTTCTACTCATCATAATGTTACAACGAATTTTAACTTAAGTTCTATTAGTAGTTGAATTTCACACAAGTTTAGGCCAAGTCATCAATCATATCAACATTAGACGGAACTGTTTTTGGGATGAATAGAATTGGTTTGTACAATGAGGAAGAGTTGGAAAATGGTGAAAGAATCGTCAACAATTTTCAGTCTTCGTTCGGTTCTCTTTCGCAAGTTGGTGTAGTTGTTCGTAATCTGCTCCGTGGCCCGAATACGGTTTCCCGATGTAAGGGGAATCCTTTGACGGAGAAGGGTAAACGGATACAGCTTGTGAAGATGCTCTTATTAACTCTAATTCCGATTCTTTCTCTTACATTACTAGCTGCTGTCGATCTCAGTAATATTGTTAAAAGCAGCAGCATTGATGCCGAGGTGCGTAACGCCATCAAATTTAGCCGCGACATTGGGGTGCTGCTGAGTCGTCTGCAGAAAGAACGGGATATGTCTGCTTTGTTTGCTAGTCCCATCAGACCACAGGACAACAGTGGTTATCTGACAGAAACGTACCCGCTCACAGATACCGCTCTTGAAAATCTTAAAAACTGGCCCATAAAGACAAGTGTGCTTACAGCTCTACCGTTTTTTCATGAGAAACAAGATCTGAAGCAGCATCTTGCGCGGCATCGACAGTCTCTGCACTCCACCAACACCACGATCTACGAGGAAATCTATTTCTACACCGAACTCCTACAGATATTTATAGACTGGTTATATGAGAGCGTTGGAAACTCAAAGGGACATGGTATGTGGAAGACACTCGTCGCTTATCAACTACTCGTGGTCAGTAATGTCGATACAGGTATCGAGCGAACACTCGGCACTGTTTTCTTCACTCGCGGAAGTTTCGACATACACAGTGACTATGTGTGGTACCTTAATAAATACAATGTTGGAACATGGTATTTCCAAGCATCAATGGGTTACTCGGAACGCATCGCTCACCTCTACAGCGTTGAGATGAAGAAACTGGATCAGAACATAACACAGACTATAGACGGGATGCGAAATATTATACTGACAAATAGTAATAAGACGGGGAATACTAGTCAGATTTCTGTAACTAGTTGGTTTGATATAATGACAATGTATATCAACATAATGGAAAAAGTTCAGAAAGACATGGCTCAGAACATTCTTGACCAACTGAACCATGAAATAGACAAGGATAGTGAGTCGATAGCTATCAGTGTCGCTTTGGTCATTGCAGTTATCATCCTCTGTCCTCTGACGCTTAGAGCTATTTTAACGACAACGAGGGACATTCAGAATTATGCTTTAACGTTGGCAGTCCAGGCCAAAAGAGTTGACAAAGAAAAAAAGCGTTCCAATTGGCTTTTGTATTCCATGCTTCCGAAGCTTATTGCCGGGCAATTGATGTGTAACAATGAAGTAAAAGCAGAGTATTACGACCTGGTTACCGTTCTTTTTTCAGACATAGTAGGGTTTAATAAATTATGCTCAATCAGTACACCATTACAAGTGAGTTCTAATTTATTTATTTAACTTTATTGGAAACATTCTTTATAACAATAGTTCTGTGAGAAAGTACCTTTCAAAAGTTGTAAATTGCTTTAATTCAGTCAGTGAGTCGAGTTTCTTCTCGCAGCATTTTAAAGATTTAGGTTTCCTAAAACGGAACTATACTCTTGTGGGTGACAGTGACGTGAAAGTATTTAGGTTGGCTTATATAGTGAAGATGCGAATGGTGGTACATTCAGTTCCCACTTGGCACCGTTACCGTAAATTATTGGCACTAATTGTTAGAATGTTTATCTTAATTTGAATTAATACTTTTGTTACATGTTCAGGTTGTAGAGATGTTGAACGGGTTGTACATGATGATTGACTCCAGAATAGAACGATATGACGTCTACAAAGTGGACACTGTAAATGAAAAATACATGTTGGCATCAGGTACGTGAGAGTTTTGAAGTAAATTAATTGTAGTACGGTATGTGCTAAAGCACTAGTTGATGTGACATTTCTGGCCATCTATCTTTTTAACTATGTCTTATCTATCTATAGTGTGAAATTTTAGGTCGTAATATTCGATGGCGTGTATCAGTTCATAATCTGATCCGTGTTTTTTTCTCTCTGCCCTTAGGATTACCTACTCCCAATGGCTATACTCATGCTAGTGAAATAGCAACTGCAGCTATAGATATACTATACCACATCAATTCCCTCGCAGTACCTGTCAATCCAAAAAAGAAATTCACAATACGGATTGGTATACATACAGGTTTGTTTAACGTCACACATGTTTTATATCTGCTTATGTAAATACGTTATCATCGGTAGGACATCAAGAGATAATGATAAGAGGACTATGTTTTTTTCAAATTTCAATTATTATCATCATCACCATTATCATCGTCGTCATAATCATCATCATATCACCATCACCACCACCACCAAAAGTTATAATACCGTTACTACTACCAAAACCAACATTTTTATGTATAATTATCAGTAATGTCATCATCACTATCTTCACCACCACCATCATCATCATCATCATCATTACAACATCGACATTCTCATCATCACTAACATCATTAGCTTTATATTATATTTCAGGTATTAATTAACCTATTTTGTTTATCCATGTAAACACATAGGTCCCGTGGTCGCAGGTGTTGTCGGTTTGAAGATGCCTCGTTACTGTCTGTTTGGAGATACCGTCAAGATTGCATCACTAATGCAAACTAACGGAATGCGTTAGTAGTAACGGTTATTTTAATGACAATAATGAGTATTTAAAAAGAAAGATATCGTTAATTACTTACTTGGTACTTGGTATTTGCCATTCCATGACAGGAATATCTGGCTGTCATTGACTGATAAACAGTTGACTAAATACGCTGCTGACATACTGTACTCTTTCAGAGAGATATCGGACTGGTGCTTTACGATTGATTTATAATTTAGTGTCATTATTACTTAACCTAATTTACATACATGCTACTTATAGATGTTAGTTTTAATGACAATGCCAACAAATGGTAATAATACTAATGATAACGATAATAAATAATGTATAAACGTTAACAAAAATGGATTAAGCGAAAGTTAAAATAATTATATAAAACCGGGCATTGCACTGAAGGCATATAACAAGAAATCAAGTCAACATTCGAATTCACAACTAAGCATCAGGGCTCAGTATAAGGTTAAGGTATCTAAATGATGCAACCAGGGTTCGAATCCTTTAACGTTTACAATATATGTTTATAGAGCATTATCAGAATACGATTATCTTGCATGCAAATAAATAAATAAATACGTTTTATATTTTTCTACAAATATTTAATTTTATTTTACAGCCAATCATATACATATTAGCAGAGAATGTTATCTGGTTTTATCTGATTTTGGAAAATTTACAATGTTATCACGTGGCAGTGTCCGTATAAAGGTAATACAGTAGATAATAGTATCAAGCAGTAGAATTGTGTGTGTTGTTTTTTTTTTTATTTCATTATAGTTGATTGTTTAATAAACTGGTACTGGTACTGGTATTATATTGTGACTCTTCATTGGGGTTATACAGCGCACTTCTCTTCGTTCGCTGGTCATTGGGGTCCACATGCCCTAAGTGTTGCTGCTGGTAATCAGCGCAGGAGTAGGCAAACCAGGTGGAGGGAAGCAATACAGATAAAGTGCCCTGCTCAAAGACACAGGCGAAATGCACAGCGAAGTATTGAAGCCTTGTTAACTTTGTTTGTTAATGACAGATAATAATTTACAATGCTTAATTTTAAATAATCGTGTTGTTTCAGGGAAGAAAAAAGAACATGGAGACGTATTGGCTGATGGGACGTAGTGATTTTAGCCGACTCATCTCTACAGACTACATCCAGTCGATTAGTACAACTGGTCTAAAGGTTCATGAGCATCGTTACGAACACATGTACGACCAAGTGTGCACGGGTAGGATCCAACTGCACGGGACGTGGTCAGCATCTGCCCCGTGTGAATAACGTTACAAGTGCGAGGGTGAGAAGCAAGCGTACTGGGTATCCCTATTCTCATGACTAATTAATTCTGTACGACATCTTAGGGTAATATTTTCTATTTGTTGACAGTTATACTGATTTATCTATGTGACGCACCGTAATGACGTCAGAATCGTAGGTTTTCATTGGTCAAATGTAATCTTTTGGATATTATTAGATTTTTGTCTGGATATTATTGTAGTCTCCTTTTCTCCCCGCCTTAATGTCTATCGACCTTATATCTTCGATTGACAGCTCTATGAATATTAAAGAATGTATAAAGCAGGCCTGAGATCGGCAGACATACATGTAGGTGGCAAAGTATTAGTATGGTGTCCCTTATAATATCTCCTGAATTTTGCGTCATCATCATTTTTTGTTTTCTTTGACTTGCTTTCAAGCATAGCATTCATTCTGCAGCCTCCTTTACAGTTATGCCTACACAGTAATACCATTCATAGTCTCTGTATAGGCCTATACTCTTATATCCGCTATTTTTAAAACTGGCTCCTCTTGACTGTTCATAAATTACTCAATGAATGAAATTAATATTTTCTGATATTTTATTTTTATATTTTGCTGTTGATGAATTTACGTGACACGGCTTCACTGACAGCTCATTAGTCCTATATTACTTCATTTGGAACATTTCACAATACTTCATCATCATGGCTTCACAGCCTACATCTCAGAGTGCTTGAGAAATATTTGTCTACTCACTGATGCTTTAGACTTAGGCCTACTCTTGTAGTCACTTTGTGTGAACTGAACGTTTGAAAAAACATCAGTCCGTAACCTATATCGTGTGGTCTGTAATATACCTTATTGAAAAACAAAGATTAAAGATATTTAATAATAGTTGTGCCTCGTTGAAAGTTGAAACATTTCCTTTTTTTAAATGTGTTTTATGTGATTTGTTTTATGCCTTTTTGAGGGAGAGGTTCACATTTTGCTACATGTAGATAATATATCTTTAAAATTAATTGCTAACAGATAAGATATTTATTTGTTCTTGCGCCTCTGCTATGTGGACTTGTCGGTCCCCTAACAACATGGATCCTGAAACTTTCCAACGAAGAATTATCCCACTTACATGTTAGTTCTCTGCATAAACAGACGTAAACGCCCACAAAGGCATAATTTGTGAAGTTTATAAAACGTTCATCTAAAATTATATCTTAAGCTAAGGTTCGATTTATTCTGATAATAATCTAGTCTGGTAGGAAGGCCAACAACCTAAAAACGAATCTCAATGGATCAACCCTCACCTCATTTATTTGCCAAGGTCACTAGACCATTATATAGTCCTGAAAGTGTGCCAAAATATTAATGCATTCGTCATGAAAAGATGTGAAATGAATAATTGAAAAATAATAAATGGTGCATAAGGTCACTGCAAGGGTGGAAGTTGGATTGCCCCAGAATGAAACTAACGAACTCGAAGCGGAAGCCTCTCAGCAAAACTCCCGACTACAAATGTCTCCACGATTGAAATCATGATTGCTATATTTTTTTATCTAATTAATAGCCTATATATTTCAAAGTTGATTAAATTCCACACCTTATCATCTTGTATTGTTATCTGTATATTCGAAATAGCCATACGGATAGAGGCCTTGGCAACGGGGATTAGTCAGAGCGGGAGCTGGATACAGAGTGCGCATTGATCGGCTGTTCAAGTTTTTGGAAACAAAGGTGCTACGTTTTGTTACGGTATTTCTCTTACGAAAGCCACTTCATTCTTTCATATAAATAGGCTTTGATAACAAAAAGTGAATAGCTTGTGAACAATTTGAAAGTCATCCGCTAATATAAATAAATAAATATTTTCAAAACCATGCAGTCACTATTTAGCAACTTGCTAACTTGTATAATAAGTACCGGTACATGAGTATCAATAAAATAAGACTCTAACTAAGTGAATCGTTTTTCTTTTAGTGTAAAATGGATACTTATATACTCAAATAAATGCCTCTTAATTTCACTGTAAATGCGGAACTACAACACATGTGTTATTGTGTGATCATACAAAAATTATTGATCCCAATCAGGTTAGAGAAAATGTTATTCTGCTGGAGAAGAATATTAATACAGTAGAGTGTGTTGATGAAGATGTTGCTTCCATTGATTTGTTTACAGTCATTTAGGGGCGTTTATTCGGGGTGGGCGTTTATAATTCCAAATGAGGCTCTAAGAGGGGAGTTCATTCGAGGGAGGGCGTTTATTCAAAGCGGGCGTTTATTCAAATAAATCCGGTACTGTATCTGAAAATTATCTGGTGCGGAATAATTAGACTTGCGTTCTGAGGAGAAAATCGTTGATCTAGAGTGAAGCATTGTGGCCGTTGCATATTGTTTAAATTTATCATTTCGACATTGACACTTGTTTCAACAGTTGACATTTTACAGGAAATAAGACACAGCAATGATACGGATCATTTGGTAGGATTTTTCATATTTTTTTAAAATTTCATCTGTTTTTATACAAGGTGGCATTTCCAAAGGCCGATATTCACGGCCGTCTGTATTACAAAATCAGAAACAATATATTAATTATGATAGAAATAAAAAAAACAAGCAAAAAATAATATCAAAGACAATTATTCATAAAACAATTTGAAGTTCACTCTAAGTATTATATTGAATTGACCTTCTTCTTCTAACTAACACAGTCCTCAATTAATTTGGTCGTTGCTACAAAACCACACTGATCATAAACAAATAATAATAAGGATAAAAATAATAATAATAATAACAATAATAATTAATATTATTATTATAATTATTATTATAACGATGACGATGATGATAATAATAATAATAAAGTAATAATAATAATAATAATAATAATAATAATAATAATAATAATAATAATAATAATAATAATAATAATAATAATAATAATAATAATAATAATAATAATAATTGCCTAAACCTGCTCTGACGTCGAACCCTAGAATTAGACAGGACTATTTAAAACATGGCTTGACCGACCCTGGCTTTCAATTACCTAGTTATACAGCCCATGTCTTGCTCCTAATATATTGTTTGAAAGACCACAAAATTCACTACATGAAATGTGCAGAAAATTAGCAAGTACAATAGATCTATTTTGTTTAATTCTAGCTTTGAATTCTCTTTCTTCAGAGAACATAATAACCGACATTTTTTCCGTGTTTACAACCTAGCTGTGTATAAGCAAGGAAAGTTTTCACTACAGGTTCTTATCTTGGGAATTAGCTCAGACAAGGGCTAAACTTCCTCTATGTCCAACCACGTGCTTTACGATTTTAATTGATTTTGCTGTTAGGAGACATCAGAAAAAATAGTGGGCTGTTTTCCGGTGATTTATGTGCCTGATAAAACATCCTTTGCACGTTGGTGAACATCACACAACACACTTTGTTCACTTCACATTTTTTAAATTAGTTAGACATGTACAATTTTCAATCTTTTCAACAATAATAATTAGCCTATAATTATTTTCCTATAGAGTAAACGTTTAGCGGCTAATCATCAACTAAAACCAAATAAACACGATAGTTATCATTGACAATAAGATTGTGTGCAAGCTCTCAGCGCTTTGCATCATATCCTTCCTTGACCCACCGTACACAACTGTACACTACATCAAGCTTTGTGTATTCAAACATGGGTAGAGTCAAGTTTGTTTCTTTACTCAACTACAGTACATGACATTGACACAGTGCCAAGATCTTTTCACGAGATTTAAAAATGAGCAAGAACAAAAATGGGAAAATACATACCGGTACTAAAAAGACATAATCTAATTATACCTCTAAACAAGCGTTGATTGACAAATCATAGTCATGGGAAATACAATCTGACATTAACACTAGAATTGAAATGAAAAGAAAAACCATTTGCTCCAAACTGTATGTTTATTATGTTGGTTCAATTTATCAATATTTACATAGACTTGAAACCTGTCGACGGTTTTTTTTTCATTTCACATGATGGGGTTAACTTCAGATTATATATCCCATGATTACAATGTATATATGCTCTTGGGTTTCATTTGTCAATCATTGTGCTATTAGATGTATAATTAGATTATTTTTTCCCATTTTTCACTTTGTTTCTTATTTTTGTCACATGAGACAATCTTGACAATAGGCCAATGTCAAATAGAAGAGTTGGTGCAACGGGGTTCTAAACTCTTAATGCGCAAGTCGTCCATGCCCTTGGGGTGGCAAAAACATTAAGAGACAAGCCCAGGAATATAGATGGGTACCGGTACCTGACGGATGCTATGACATTGAATGTACTACTTTTGTGTGTGCGTTGAGTACCAGGGAGCAGAGAACGCATTGTGCAGTGGTTTGTCAATGTATGTTATTTATCCGAATGAAAACTAGTAAGCCTTAAAATGCTTGGCATATACGGTATATGAAATAACATTTTTATTGGAAATTAAGTTTGTTAAAATATTTTTATCGTCGAATAGGTCTATGTGACATATTCTGTTCGTCAATACACTTAAGAAAGATCTGAAAACATTTCCTAGAACAATATCGAACAGTTGCCAATTAAGCTGGATACATTAATATAGTGTTGGCACTTTTTATTATATTCAATACCCATTTGTTGCTATTTAATTTGACAGATAAACTACGGGGAAAAAATAATTAATCTCATCTAATTTATCATTTATGTACGTCTCAATTCCGTGCACGTGTTTTAAAGTTCATTTTTATATTAATTGAAGGCGAGACGAGGGAATAGAGAGCGTCACGCCCATCTGCTGAAATATGACACTGGATTGCTAAGTAAACATGTAGACCTAACATGGAGACAAAACACAAGGCTGAAATAAGGTTTGCAGTTAAGGAATACCTGAGATATAAGTGAGAGCATATCAACGGAATTTTGTTGAAAGCAAATTAAGTTTGTTAGACATATTTATTTATTTGTAAATTCAGTTGTCTAATAATAGATTTGTAAATATATATTTCATTGTCAAATAATGAAATGTTGATATGGATTGCTCACCCTTATGATTAATGTATTGAGTGCTTTAGATTTTGCAAACGATATAAGTTTCAATATGTAGTAGACGTAAAATATAGCCCTAGCACTGTGTGACCAACTTTAGGTCGAATTTATAAAAAAAAAAGTGAGGCTATATACAGCTTCATCAGGCGAGTCAGTTTCAACATTCAAATGCCTACCGTGGCCTTCCGGTGCTGTATATCGGATTATTTAATGGGCCCAACTGTATTCTATAAACCATTCCAGACCGTTTTAAATCCGACAATTATATTATTTTGTTCTCGACAAGTACCGTTAAAACAGTCAGAACACGTCGTTTGGTCTCAAACATACTCGTGTGGGCATTTTCTAAAAGTTACAGGTTATTGTATTCAGATTGCTGCCTTGGTGATGACTATAATGATCTTATAATATAATGGTATAATGTTCTTATTTTTTGTAGGTCTAGGCCTAAGCTCATGGAGGAATATATTTTAATCCTCCATAAGCCCCACTTTATAAACAAAAGTTTATCAACACCAATACAGCAACAGTCATTTCGAATACTATCCTCAATAATAACATTTGCTACAAATTAATATACAGTAATTTATATTCCAACTACTTAATAACGCCCAAACATTGTATGCTTTATGTTCATTAATTTGAAAAACAATCTGAATTACTGATTTTAATACAGGGTAACAGTGGCGGATATCGGGTTCAGAGGCCCAGAGAACGTTGCCCTCTTTTACTGTATGAATTATTTCACGTATACAGTACAATCCAAAATATCACCCGATTAAAGATATGCTGTTCCCTTATTCCTCCCCTGTTTCCAAAATCCTGGGTTCGTCATTATTTTAT